CAAGGAACAAAAGGTCCCTTCAGCCCACTGTTGTGTGCGTTTCCACTGTGGTCTAAAGACCTGCGAAGATTAGGCAAATTAACCAGCTGACCTATACGCCGTTCAAAGTCTACAAAAGAGAGGAGCAGTCGTAGAAAAACAGCCGACATTCTCCAGTTAAAGCCAGTAGCCTCTACTCGCCCATTCAGAATTTCACTACAAGGCAAGACCCGCCCCCACAAAGTACCGGTACTTTTGGAAAGTACTACCCCCTCGAGCGGGGACTTTTTGGGGGGGAAAATGAAGACCCTAGAACTAAATTTAGACCCTGGTCCCTTCGGTGGAAATGCAGTGATTTCCTCCAAAAGTTCCTTGTATATATTTCCTTTGGTCGAAACGCAGCTTAAAGGTGACGAGGCCTTTGCTGCCTGGGCCCCTCAGCTGTGGAACATCAAATTATTAGGCTGTAATATCAACCAGAGCATCCTCTGCATTCAGTACTAACCTGCTGTATTTTATGCTGTCATATAGTAACAATAGTGCCCATTATGTAGTCTGCACATGTCATTCCAACAGCATGATCCTGTGATGACAGTTGTAGGCTACATTTCAGAAAACATTTAGCTTAATGCATGTTTAGTATACCAAGATCTCCCTGTTTGCAATACCTGATCTTAACTTGTGTGTCTGTATCTCTTATTTTATGCTATTTTAGTGAGCAAAGCAGTGGAGAGAGAGACTATGATCAGCCTGTAGTTTGTGTGTGCACTGTGTGGTTTAAGCCTTCACAGCGCAACGCACACACACACAGAAGAGGAGAGCAAGTCTGTTTTGCAAACAGGTTTCTTTGTATGTATTTCCTTATAGATCATTGGTTTGTGTGACCATAGTGAAGAAATTTGGTTGTGTTTAGGTATAATTTTGGTATGAATTACCATAAATAAGCTCTATTACAAAAATATTATCTGGACTTTACTAATTTCTAAACCCTGGTCACAGCTGGCTATGTGTAGGGCTGAAACAATTAATCGATTAAGTAGATTACTAAAATGCATTGACAAATTCTTTGCATCGAGGCTTCGTTTAATCCATAGAACTATATAGCACACTGTGCACACACATTTAATACTGCCGCGCTTACGCTGTGTGAACACGACGTGATTATGATGGCGCTGTTTGCAAAGTGGAGGAAGAGGGAGAAAATAGTGAGGGACGAAGAAGAAAGTGTCCAAAGTATGGGATTATTTCAAGCTAAAAGAAAACAATAACTCGGTAATGTTACAGTCCATCCACCAACGCCACCGCCAAGTAAAAGTACTTCTTAAGGTGTGTTCACACTGAAAGCGAAGTTAATATTCGCCTCGCTTTACTCGCGCGAGTTTGACCGCTGGACATTTTGAGTGTTCACACACAGAACTTGATAAGCGAATAAACACAACCCGCGAATACTACAGCTGTATGAACCCAAAGTAAACCTTTTGCTGTGATTTAATTGCAATAAATGGATCAAACTGATGCTGAAATAACTACAAAACATATAAGATATACATACAAGACATATGAATTAATGCTTTGTCAGGTCTGTCAGCAAGTCAACAGGACAACAACTTTTAAAATGTTTGTTTTCTGAATGGAGTTCGGATCAAGCTGGGCTATGCTATGCTAACCTGTTCACAGTAAAGTACAACGATAGCTGGAATAAAGTTACAGACACACAGTTTCTGAACTCAGCGATTAATTAAAGCAGTTAACTCTAACTCCTCCTGCAAGTAAATAGCGTAGTTGTCAGAGCATAATCCAGAACGACTACTGGTGTTTATTTGTCTAAAAGCTGCAGCGCTGCTCCCCATACACTTCCCCGTTCTTTAGCAGCTCTCCATCGTTACACCGCTCGCCAGGTCCTCTCCAAACAACGCTCAGAAGCGCCGGTGATGTTTGGACAATGTCACCGCTGATAGGCTTTCGCAAGATCACATCAAGCGAGTTTCTCGACCAAGTTGAAAAATCTCAACTCGCACGAACCAGCAAATGTCGTGACAAACGCCTCTTTCGTGCCGCCCAGAACAAATTTGCAGGAATTCGGGTCTTTGCATTGACTTGTATGTAATCAAGCTGGCCAAAACGCTGGATTCGCTTTCAGTGTGAACACACCTTCAAACAATGCATCGATGAATCGCTGAAATCGTTGAACCTTCGAGTCAAGCAGTGGAATATGATTTATTATATGTGCATTTTAAAACCCATAGTATACCATTTGAAATTCTCACATCACAACAATTCCAGACTTGCAAAACTCAAAATCACTGCTACAAAATCTGCCTGTAGACTGCAAGAGATGGGCAGAAAAAATTTATTCTTTACAATAAGGTATGTGACTTTTACACATGCAGTAATTATTTATAATGTATTTCACTTGTGTCAGTGCTAGATGCAAACATTTCCATTTTCAGTATATGACTGCAAGCTTTGTTTGCATTGTGTAATCCTTACTCTAACTTATCCTGTTTATATCATCCAGTCGATTTTAAATTCAGTTGTAACACAAACTTAAATTCCTAACCTTCAACTCTGTCTTTGTTGAAGTTTAGGGCCAGTATACCAATGTTCTCACTCTACCATTTTGATGGCATTTAGACAAAAATGGACATGGCAGGCCTTGTGAGGATGGTGTCTTACTTGTGAGACTTGTGGTCCAGGATATTGTGGTCCAGGTCGATGTGGTTGATAAGTCTCCAGATGTAAAGAGCCTTCATGTCTTTGGTTACAGACAGCAAGCTTTGGCAGAACTTCATGCCCATCTCCTGTAGCTCCTTGGTTCCTGTCTGCAGGCCCTGCACACACAGTCCAATTATTATTTTACTTTTTTACAATAAAAACGGAAGCTCATGTACACAGGCACTGACTCACACTCACAGTTTTATTTATAAGAATGTCGACCTCCATAAATGCTGATGCATAAACTTGCTGTTACATACTGAACAAAGGGAACTACAGTCAGGGACTAGGAACAGGTCTAGTAACTGGGAGTAACTGAACTGAAGTGCCCTCAACTAAAGAATATGAACATTTATGAACTGCGATGCTTGGACTGATAGCAAGTTCTCAGTTACCGATTAATATCATACAACAGCTACCCCATCTCTTCATGATATCAATGTTCCTGTTCCAAACACCTATTTGTAAGAAAATCAGCTATTCCTGCTTTACAATGTAAAAGACAGGTTTGTTTGAAATAAACATAACACATAAATCTATATTGACACTGGGGGCACACTTTATGGATAATAATTATAATGATGATATTTAGTAGATTATGGATTTAAATCATATAGCTACAGTAGTAGCCAGACAAAACAAATAACAACTTAAAGCTAAACAGTCTGTTTAAATCCATCAAACTCTTTCAGTATATAAATGAAAAGCACGTAAATTTTATTAATGGAGTCAGTACAAGCCATCACTGGTCATTATCAAGCAAAGAGTGAAAATATAAGGCCCACACGTATGAACAAATTAATTCTTAATTGGCACGTATTGTGGATGAAACGTGTTTGCAAATAAAGTAGAATGTGTAGCCTTAAAAAATAACTGAAGGAAATCATATTTCCCCATGTTTTGGGAACTAATTTAGCTAAATAAGAGAATACTGAAATTGGCAGCAGCGAAACAGGGCTACAATGTAATCCTTCTAGGCAATAGTACATCGTCAATGTACAGTATGTCCACTAAAGTGCTTGTTTTTGCCACTGATAAGCTCAGATTGGTATTATAAGAGAAAACATTATGGTGGTGATCCCTACAGAGAGAGACCATGTGAAAGAGTAAGATCCTTTTTGTTACCAGAAACTGTTGCTATAAAACTCTTGTCAATGGCACCAGACTCAATTGACAAATACAGTAATTTTACCTTGCAGAAAAAATTGTTGTCCCCATTAGTCACTTAGACACAAAACATGGGACATTAGGGTCCAGGTAAGAAATTACATAAGTTTCACTTAAAGGTTGTTGATTATTCTAATGATCAAATGTCATGAATGTGCACCTCCTCCTGAAGAGGTGGTATTCATCAAGCTCAAACAAACAATGTATGACAAGTTTTTGCAGTCGAGTAGAGTTGAGTTTGGTGGAACCAAAAAGGAACACTCCTGCGAGCAAACCTCACAGGTATTTCCTTTCATGGTCTTGCACAAATTCAGTCTGCACATGAGGAAGCATTATGCAATTCATACATAAACATGTTAATAAACATCAGTTTGCGGCAGTATATGAATGTGTGTGTGTGTGTGTGTGTGTGTGTGTGTGTGTGTGTGTGTGTGTCCTAACCATTTGTGCATATGTGCCAGTGCTAGTGATTCCAATTACTTGTTACATCAATACATCTTAGTGTTCCCTCTCCTGATTTACTCTTTTCTTCCCTGGCTTTATGCATGTAGAATTATGTCCATGAGTTGAATGTCGAGTGATCGAAACAAGTATGTTGCGTCAGTAATGTCACCAACAGTTTTCTGAATAGAGATATTCTGAAACCTGGCTTTAAGTTTGCAGTGTACCACTGTTTTCTCAGATAAAAGTTGGTAGAGCTGAGGAGGACTGAATCAGAGAACTTAAAACACCTGTTACTTCAGGTTGAGTGTCTAGCCTAATGACACTGCGACATGAAGAATAGGGGAACCTGGGATCAAACCACTGACCTTCCGGTTAGCGGGCGACCGCTCTACCCCAAGCCTCAGCCGACCTAGATATGTAATTTGTCAGTGCCTTCCAAAGTCACCCACACGACAGATCAAACAATGATTCATTTGGCTGTTTTCAGATCTGCCACCTTCACAGTATGTCTGGTTAAGTTTATGCAACTAAAACTACTTGGTTGTTATGGGAAGACTGCGGTCATTGTTAAAATGTAGAGACAGGATGTCTCCAGGTCCTAGATGTTGTTGATCCAGCCATTCATCCAACTCCAAAGTTGACAGCAGTTTCACCTCAAGGTCCACTTGTAGGAGATAGAGCGGATCACTTTTTAATCAAAAGATCAGCGGTTCAATCCCCGGCTCCTCCAGGCTGCATGTCGAAGTGTTCTTGGCCAAGATACTGAACCCCAAATTGCCCCTGGTGGCTGTTCCACCATTGTGTGAATGTTAGTTTCTGTTTGAGCACTTAGGCTCAGTGTATGAATGGTGAATGTGATGTAAAAGCACTTTGCGTGGTCACAAACACTACAAAGGCGCTAAAAATATGGAGCATTTACATTTAGGTGTTCCAGACACTGCAGGTTGGGCAAAACCATAGACTGTATATAAGAAATGGACGTAGTCATCGTAATGTCACCCGTTGGTTTGTTGACTGCCGTTTTGAAGCCTCGAGTTTGGTCGATAGGCCGTCGCCATGTCAAATTTTTGCAACCAGGAAGTGCCCGTAAGTGACGACACGGCGGAGCTAACGGCAGTGTGCGGAGCTAGCTAGCTTGCTTAGCTAGGTGCAACTGTACCTCACGTTAACTGTCATTATAGCAGGGCTGATAACTTTGTCTAGCGAACAACAGCCTTAAAACTAAATGTCCTCACCAGAGAAAGTGAACAGCCAACTCCTAATAAGCTTTTTCAAAGGCGCTGGTTAAATTTACACAGTGCCGCGGGTATGAGTCGGTTCTAGCCTGATTGACAGGTCGCTATAGTAACGACTTGTCAATCATAGATAATCTGAAACATACTCTGCTTTAAAAAAAAGTGGGACCATAATTTTCTAAATGAACATCATTTTGTATTGAAGAAGACTTGAAACTAGCGACTGAGACCATAAACTCATCAGGAAAGTGTTTACTGGGGTAATTATTCAGCTGAGAAGTAGGGTCTTTTTCCCATTATTTCTAATGGAGCCGGACTTCTTTTTGCAACCAGAAGAGTCGCCCCCTGCTGGATTTTCAATAGAATGCAGGTTTCAGGGACTTCCGCATTCGCTTCCCGCTTGGGCAAAACACAAACAAACCATAGGAGGTGTGAGACGAAGAGGAAGTGTGGCAAGAGGGCAGGGATACAAGTTAGGCTGAAAGCTAACCCTAATGGTTATGGCTGTACCATCCATTCTGCTCGTGAATGTCTGCTCACTACACAACAAACTGGATTACATCGGACTTCAACAGACTTCCCAGCGTGAGTTCGAACACTGCTGGGTTTTTGGCTCAGCGACAGCATACCACACTCCACCATTCATCTGCCAGGGCTGATAACCTTTCCGAGCGGATAGATGTGCAACTCTGTCGGGCAAGACTCTGGGAAGAGGACTGTATGGGACTTATATCCAGCTACTGCTCACCAACCAACATGGCTCAAATCCCAGCTCGCTTTCCTCTTCTCTGGGCATCACTGCAGCTTCAGGGGCACCGTGTAAACTTTTCAAAGATACAATTATTTTCCATTGCAGCAAGGACCTGCTTTGAAACTATCTTTTCAAGGGTTTTTGAAAGAAAAGGCAGTTTAGAGTTTGGGCGGTAGTTATCAAGGATGTTGGGGTCAAGGCTAGGTTTTTTTAGGACAGGTTGTACACATGCCTTCTTGAAGTAGACCGGGACACTACCAGTAGATAATGGGCTGTTACAATTAAAAAGCAGGTGTGGGCTAGAGGAAAGCTTCATCTTCAACATAGTAGGGTTTGGGCTAATACTAGCTCTTAATAATTCCACCTTACCTTGTGTATTAAAAATATCTCACAATCTGCATCACAATCAGCAGAGGCACAGGGAGAGGCAGGGTTCACCAACAGATCGAGAGTCTTAAAAAGAAATCTAGGATTGTGCAGGTGGACAGCAATAAGATTTGAGAAATGGTGAGCTCTTGCATCTTTTACCAAACCTTTGGTTTCCTGTTGCTGATGGGAGGGTAGGTGATAAATGAGAACATTTATTTATAGCTAAATGTTTAATACCTGAATAAATGAATGATTTATAAGGTGTGTAGCATAAAAGAAATAACAAAAGGATGAATAACAGATATAAAATGGTGCGATAAACCTTTACTCAATGGAAATAGTGAGATGAAGTATGTGCTTTAGTTGTCAAAACATAATGGCAAAACGCTAATGTGAGGGCAATCAAGTTCACTAAACGAGATTCAGTCAACTTCGATTTGTGGCTTTCTGTACACACAAACATTGTCTCACATCGTCATCGTTTTATCTATTTGTCTAACACTAACAATAAATAAACAGATTGTGTTTTTTTAAAGTAATGATTCATTGTCAGTTTGAATTTGTGTATTATGTATTGACAGCAAATTCCTGGGCTGCTTTTTGTTGCCAGTCTGCCCGTGCACACACACACGTACACACACACACGCACACACACACGTACACACGCACACACACACACTTACCTTGTATATTCCCTGGTCACAACCATTGTAGGTACTCTCCATTGTATAACTTCTCAGCACGCCCATTTCCCTCCAGACAACCACCCTTGCTGTGGCAGAACGAGACTTCTCCACCTGACAAGTTCAAATCAGAAATGATGAGGAGCATAATAATGATAATCCATATGACAAAAAACTATAATGATAACAAAAGTATGGTAATGATCAAAAACAATAATTTTGACGAATATGTGATTATGATTTAGATAATTAAAAGTATTATAATCATTATTCTACTTTTTGTTGTTGCTGTTATTATTACCAAATAGTTGCAGCTGTTGAAAGAAAAGGCGGGTGCAATACGATCCAAGGTCTTTGGAATGGTCTAGAGAAAGAAAGAGATGGACAGATAGAACGACATCAACAATGCTAGTCAGTACAAAGATAATATTAGTAAAAATACTACATGCGTCCATGGAAATTATGTCAACTTATAATTCTAAATATATCGATAGTTGTGAGTGTTATTATTTGTTTAACTATATAGGTTGATTGATGTGTTCATTTAATAAGATGCTGGAATATTCAGGATCTTCACTCCTCAACCTTTCGGCTGAAGAGTGTAACCATGAATTCATAACATCTATTAATAATGTTGATATAATTGTGTAATAATATGTGTCAAAATGAACTGCTCACTCACTGTCCTCCAGTATATAATGAAGTCATGATGCCCCCTATAAAATTAAAAAACATATGCAGAACAACGGGGTGGATCTTTGTGTGGTGTAAAAGAGATCTCTGCATTCAGATCACACCAGTGAAACAGGGTTAATCCCAAATTTGGTTAATATTAGACCAACCCCTGGGCATAGCTGATAGAGATCTATATCTCTGTGCTATTTATGTTCTATAAATTAATAATTCATTTCAAGTCATACAAAAATCTAAATTGTGTTAAACAATACTAGATCAATTATTGGTTAGATAGCGGATTAGAATTAGAATCACAATCAGAAATCGCTAAATTGCCAAATAGTTGTGCAATATGGCATTTAATTATTTACATGTGCACAATAAAATCGCTTTTTGTGCAACCATTAACAGTGTGTACTGTTGAAGCGGGGAGCAGGATTTTTGGGTGGGGTATGAGAGGCAGTGAGCAGTGCACCAGATGTTGATTGAGGAGATGAGGATGGACTCAGTGATGGTGGTGTAGAAAAATCATTTTATTTGGCAGGCTGCCACAAGAAGTACATTCTATGTTGGGCTTTCTTGATGAGAGAGCTGTAAAACGTTCAGCTCCCACTTAATGTCCTGTGAGATGTTGGTTCCCAGGACGTGGAAGGACTCCTCTAGTGTTGACTGTGGTGTCCCACGGTATAATGGGGATGGGAGGGCCTGAGCTCTTCCTGAAATCCACCACCTTCTTCACTTTCTTGAGACCATTAAGCTCCAGGTAGTTCTGGCAGCACAGTTCACCAGACGGTCAATCTCCTACCTGTGGGAAGACTCATCCCCACAAAAGATGAGCCCAATGAGGGTGGTGTCATCCGTAAACTTCAGGAGCTTGACAGACTGGTGACTGGAGGTGCAGCTGTTGGTGTACAGGGAGAAGAGAAAGGGGGGAAAGAACGCAGCCTTGAGGGGAACCAGTTCTGATGGTCCTGGAATCAGATACATGTTTTCCCAGTTTCACTAGGTGCCTCCTGTTGGACAAGAAGTCTGTGATCCACCTGCAGTTGGAGTCAGGCACACTCAGCTGGCAGACCTTGTCCTTCAGCAGAGCCGGATGATGGTCCTTTAGCGGAGCTGAAATCCACAAACAGGATCCTGGATCCAGGATCCACACCAGCGTTTTAGCATGCACATTCAGTGGCCGTTCCCGTACACTGGGCATGCACGTGCTGGTGTAAACATGAAGCAGATGGTCTCTCTCTTTCGTAGTTACAGAAGATTTGGCGAAATAATAAAGTAATGCAGATGAAGAACCGCACCAGATTTTTTTAATGGATCAATAATAAGCTGGGACTGTTTCTGAATGTACCACGGGAGTTAAAAGGCTGTGGCGGCGTTATTTGCACGGTACAAAATATTTTAATAAAAATACCAAATCAAAATTTCTGTCAGTAGCATTGTGTTTCTGCTTTGCATGACTTATGAGACCCAATCAGAGAGCCAAACGTCAGTGTCTGCGCCATTGTTTCTAAAATCCTCTCGTCTCCATTTTAGGTCTTTGTTTTTGCTGTTTTAGTCTGCAAGGGAGGTGCAAACGTAGCAAAAGTCTCCGTTTTAAAACCAAAACGTAGTAGTATGGATGGGTCCATGGGTTCCTAAGGAGTCCAAGTGCCTGGGGATGAAGGGGCCATGGGGGAGACAGAGTCAGGCCCAGCTGCTTTGCTGGCTTTCTGCCTCCTGAATAGCCTGTTGACATCTCTCACAGATGGAGAGAGGGGTAGGAGAGTTTGTTCTGGTCGCCTCTAAGGAGGTGGAGGAGGAGCTTATGGCCTTGGGCTGATTGGTGGAGTCACGGGGGATAGTATCAGGACTGTCCCATTGTCTCTCAAAACAACTGTAGAACTAGTTCAGCTTGTTGGCCAGGTGAAAGTCATTAATAAAGTAGGGGGCTAGGGAGTAGGTTTGTGGTTGGTGATCTGTCTTAAGCCTCTCCAGACAAAAGCACAGTTGTTGGCAGAGAACTGGTGTTGTAGTCTCTCTGAGTCCAGCCGTTTAGCCTCTCTAAAGTTATATTCTATTATTAAATAATAGTAATAATAATCATTATTACATTATTTAACATAAATATCTTGATGCCATTTAAACCCTAATCTCCAACAGCTGTACTGGACGAGACAAGTGCGCTGCCCTTCATTGGAGATGAAAAACCAAAGCTAACTGAAAACACTTGTGATCACACAGAAATCTCACCACAAATCCACACAAGTGTTAACTTCACCACTTCTGATAAAGTGCAGTCCACAGCTGCTTCAGTGGGAAGCAAGCTGGAGCAGAGAGACTCCCAGACAGAGTAAAGATGTCTGTAAGCAGAGACAACTCAACACAGAGCTACGGGTCAGAGGAAAGACCACACTGCAGTCCAAACATTTTACAAGTCTAAATAAGACTGCAGGAAATACTAACACATGCACATGACTCCAAGCAACCTGTTCTATTATGACTTTGTTCTCCAAATATTTTTTTTTTTTCTCACATTACAAAATTCAACTCTATTTGGCATGAAAGACTTGTTCAGACTTGGCCTCAGGTGACTGTAATGACGATAACGATTGTCATTACCATACCCAGATGCACTAATGATCCAAGTGGTATCCATCCCCTTGATAACTATCCCACAGAGATTAAATAGATGGGACTCCCTGCCAGTAAGTCAGAACTGGGAAGCCACTTGGCTGAGAGGCGAACTGTCTTGAACTATTTTCAACCAAGTCCAGTTGATCATGATTTTTCCTTGGATAACTATGACCTGGATTACTGAGAATATTCACAGTGTTTATATATATTTCTCAGTCATTTGTATTTGCACATCGTTATCTAGTCTACATTGTTATTATTATTATAGTAGTAGGAGTAGACGGGAGAGGGGGGAGACAGAGAGAGGCAGGGCAAGCCGGTGTGTTTAACTGAGGTCTAGCCTCTTGTGTGTCTGAGTGTGGGAGAAGAGAATTCTGAGGACGGTGCTAAGCATATTTAAAATTTTTTGCCAGGGGGCAACCATTGACCATCTGTCAGCCATCGCCGATGGACGATGGCATCGTCTATCGGCCCAACCCTAAAAGAGAGAACCATACACCATTTTAAACTGAACCCTCTATGGCTGGCTTGTCTGTGTGTGTGTGTGTGTGTGTCTTACCCTATACCCAGGGTCCTCTTTCAATCCGACTGTGTCAACAGCAGAGCCAGACTGCCAAAGAGTCTCCTTAACACTGCAGCCATACAGGAACACATTCTTCTTTCTAGAGTGGCCGTGGTAGTCACAGAAAACCTGGAAGACATGCACAGGGAGAGAAACAGCTTTTTAGAGCTGCATTAAACATCGACACAAATACTCCAACCAAATTAAACTAATAATACAGATTTTGAGCAAACTTCTCAAATCTCAAACATACTCCCCAGGATATGATCTGAGAGGATGTAAAGACTGGAATTATTCAGTGAGGTGGGAAATGATACTGAAACACATGCTCTGGGGAAAAGACAAGCTGTAATAAAATCTTACGGAGGGGAGGGCCTTAATGTAATGACAGTCTGTGGGCTCCACTGATATCCCAATCTGATGACAGAGAGCACAAATTACAGCTTGAAGTGCTCTTTGCACCTGGGTGGGATGATCCGGTGGCTCAATGAGCTGCCCATGTGCCACAGCTGTTCATGGAGAGGGGTTACCCAGGATGGCTTAGATCTTGTTCCTCATCTTCCTCTTCGCCTCTGACTCTAGTTGTTCTAGGCTGTTCACTTTGGGCCCGACCACAGAGCTGGACTCCCTTACCAGCTAGTTCTTCCTGGATGGAAACTGGGACAGTGGGCCTCCTGTTCGTCTCCTAGTCCAACACCAGCTGTTTGGTCATGCTGATATTGAGCATGTGACAAAGCTCTCTGTCAGTCCTCTGTCCTCGTTGTCGTTTGTCTGGTAGTCGACGATCCAGGATGCAATGTTGGGGTGCAGAAACATTGTCAAGTTTTTGCCTTAGAGGGTAGGGCTGGATGATGTTGTTGAAAGCACTGGAGAAGCTGTCCTCTGACGTTTGTGGTTTACTGAGAGAGGGGGATGTAGCCATGTTCTTAAATGTATTTAAAATCTATTGAGTACAGATGTAGCAATTTAGTTTGTGTACTCTATGATACTATCCCATCTCTACTCAGTTCTCAGGCAAGTAACACAACTATGCAACCACTCCATAAGCTCTATAAACAAACACTGAAGGTACTGGATACAAAATCCAAATCTATAAATGCTCTTTTCAAAACTGCGTGTGCGACATTGCGTGAAGTAATATTAATGGTATGTTAAATGGTAGGTAATGTCTTATATCTGGATTTCAGTCCAAGATCAATGCTGTTGAATCATTGCAGCTAAATGTTAGCATCCTGAATCAGCTGTCATTGTCAGTGACCTTTCAGTTTATGTTTATGTCTATCTGCTATCTTCAACACACTCCATTCCTCCTGCTAACGAATGACTTCACTCAGCGAGTGAGTGTATACTTGCACTTTCGCTCACAACTGACCGGGAGAATGGATCGTTTCAGGAAGTGATTCAGGAAGTGATTCAGTTCAGTTCATTCTTCCAAAGACTTTGTCCTTTTGCGCCATCTTCATTATTGTGCAATACCTGGGAGCTGCTCGCCTTCTGTCGTCTTTTCTGCAGAGAGGAAACGTGCCGCTTTGGAACACACTGTCTTTTTCGCCATTTTGTGGCCGACCCTTTGGAGATACAAGACATGAGTACCAAATGAAAGGTCTGCTCAAGCCGGATCGATTGATACCCCCCCGCCATCACTGTGGGATGTTCCGTTCTAAATCTACAGGCCTGCAAAGCATAGGTATGCTTTTGGTGACAGTTGTGTTGATGAATAGTCACTGTTTTTATCAATATTTCAATGTTTTGTTATTTGGAGCTTTGTTGTATGGACAGAAAGAGTGTTTTAAAGATATCTCCCAATAAAAACCAACATTTAAACAGTAAATATTGCCAAAATATGGACATTCACCTGGTATATTTTTGAAAATATTTTATGATAACTGTTGTATTTTAGTTTATTTTCATCAGATTTACAGTTACAATTCCATTCTAGGTGTATTAGAAGATATTCAGTTGCATTATAAGCTTCCTTATGGTGGTTTTGATGGTTTATTGCATTAAAATATAGCGAGGATGAAAATATCATATTTTTTCTTAATTGCATCTCCATGTAGTCTGTAAAGGTAAAATAAATACCTGACCTTTCAAAGGAGACCAGAATTATGCATCTAGGCCAAATGGTTGAGGAGTTATTTCCGATTCATTTTGGGTATTTTGGGCATATGCCTGTCCCCAAGAGGTTGAAGGATCAGCTACCCTAAAAACTAAATTTTAAAGGGGGCTTACTGTACGTGTTCGCCTGAAAAGAGAAGTCGCTAAAATAAATAGCTCTAACCTGTCAAAGCTGTTCTTCTCAACTTAACTAACTTTGTTATGAAAACCCTGTACTCAGTAACTGAAATAGAAATTGATGAGATGTTGGAATAACTTTGTGACATTGCTGAAAATGGGTCCATCCATCGTGTCGAGAGACATGAGGAGTCAGACAATCAGACAGGTTGGAAATACACCTCTCAGTTAGTTGAACTTATTTGGAAGAGAAAATGAAGGTGAACAGAGAGAGTATGACCCCAATCACATCTACTGACCTACTGACCTGATACTTACTGTAGATTTCCTGTGCAGTGAGGAATCATTAGCAGTCGTTGATTTGTTAATTTTTAACAGGGGGGATAGTTCAATAGGAGCACCCCATGACTACATGTTGCTATGATCATGTCGCTAGCTCTACTTTATAATATAGAATTGAGTATTTATAGTACAGTGGATAGAAAAAGTCTGCACACCCCTGTTAAAATGCCAGGTTCTTATGATGTAAAATAATGAGACAAAGACATATCATGTCAGAACTTTTTCCACCTTTAATGTGACTTATAATGTGAACAGTTCAATAGAAAAACAAACTGAAATCTTCGAGGGAGAAAAATGAAAAATAAAAACATTACAATAACCTGGTTGCATAAGTGTGCACACTCTCTTATAACTGGGGATGGGGCTGTGTTCAGAATTAACCAATCACATTCAAACTCAGGTTAACTAGAAGTCATTACACACCTGCCATCATTTAAAGTGACTCTTGATTAATCACAAATAAAGTTCAGCTGTTCTAGGAGGATTTTCCTGATATTTTCTTAGTTGCATCTCCGAGCAAAAGCCACGGTCCGCAGAGAGTTTTCAAAGCATCAGAGAGATCTCATGGTTGAAAGACATATTTCAGGAGACGGGTACAAAAGCATTTCCAAAGCATTAGATATACCATGGAACACAGTGAAGACAGTCATCATCAAGTGGAGAAAATATGGCACAACTGTGACTTTACCAAGAACTGGACGTCCCTCCAAAATTGATGAAAAGACGAAAAGAAAAGTGGTCAGGGAGGCTTCCAAGAGGCCTACAGCAACATTAAAGGAACTGCAGAAATTTCTGGCAAGTACTGGCTGTGTGGTACATGTGACAACTATCTCCCTGATTCTTTATATGAATGGGCTATGGGGTAGGGTGGCAAGATGGAAGTCTTTATTTACAAAGAAAAACATCCAAGCATGGCTGAAGTTTGCAAAAACAAACATCAAGTCCCCCCAAGTGCTTTGGGGCTGTTTTTCTTCAGCTGGAACCGGGGCCTTAGTCAGGGTGGAGGGAATTATGAACAGTTACAAATACCAGGCAATTTTGGCACAAAACCTTCAGGTGTCGGTTAGAAAGCTGAAGATGAAGTTCACCTTTCAGCACGACAACGACCCAAAGCACACATCCAAATCCACAAAAGCATGGCTTCACCAAAAGAGGATTAATGTTTTGGAATGGCCCAGCCAGAGCCCAGACCTGAATCCAACTGAACATCTGTAGGGTGATCTGAAGAGGGCTGTGCACAGGCGACGTCCTCGCAATCTGACAGATTTGGAGCGCTTTTGCAAAGAAGAGTGGGCAAATATTGCCACGTCAAGATGTGCCATGCTAATAGACTCCTACCCAAAAAGACTGACTGCTGTAATAAAATCAAAGGGTGCTTCAACAAAATATTAGTCTAAGGGTGTGCACACTTATGCAACCAGGTTATTTGAGGGTTTTTATATAAAATTTTTCCCCCTCAAAGATTTAAATTAGTTTTTCAATTGAATTATTCACATTAAAGGTGGAAAAAGTTCTGACATGATTTATCTTTGTCTCATTATTTTACGTCCTAAGAACCTGGCATTTTAACAGGGGTGTGTAGACTTTTTCTATCCACTGTATAGTTTGAAGATTGTTATGGATTGAAGAAGAAATGATTTATAAATCCATCTGCTTCTTCAGCGCCATGGATTTATCCATTCGTACTACAGTTAGGCTGCTGATATTTCAGTTGTGTGTGCGACTCTAACTCAAACCTCAGTCAGATAAAGAATCATTCATCCATCAGTCATGTGTCTCTGCACTCTGTTACTAGTGGATGGAGGGGAGGTGGCAGGTTAGCAAAGAGGATTTATTTTGGTCATTTCGCTAACAAGGTGATGGTTTGACTGAAAAGTTTGGAGAAGATCTTGGTCATGATAAAAATAAACTAATGATGACGGTTGGTATGAATGCATACATTCGTGTCCTGTATCAAAGTCACACACTTTGTTGATCCATCCATCCAGGTTTTGGAGTTCTTTAACAGTGTCACTGTTCTTCGTACTGACAGACAACAGTCATCATTCAGTGGAATCATTTTTGGTAGACATTATGTTTGTAGCCGTGCCATTTTGAGCATCATGTTTTTCAAGTGCAAATCTCCTGGTTGTGAAAAGGTTAACAAGTCATTCTTAAAGTGCACATGCTTTTCACTGTATGTCAGTCGACAGCAACAGTTGGCAGTTAATTATATGAATTAGCCTGAAAAACAACCTCACCACTCTAATTTAGAACAATTAAATAAGCCAATCAAGGGCAATGTATTAAAGGTCTTTCTCATTAAACCCTCATTACATTACATTTCAGTTTCAGCAAGACACCTGCAACACACACAAATGGTGCTCACACCATACACGTGCACTGCTACATGCTCACACAGCACACATTCATGCACCATTCAGCTTTGTTTAGCTGAAAAATGGGCTGCAGGTATTTTATGTGAAAAATTTTAATAATCAGGCAATAGTTTTGCTCTTAATTTGGTTCCTATTCATTTAAAAAACATACTTTAATTAGTCAGTATCGCAGCTGGAATTTCATTCATTCTGTGATTTGTAAACAATCAGGAAATACTGAGATTGCCAGAATAGGTTCAGATTAGAATTAGATGAAAAGAAAGAAAAAGACTGGGCCTGACTTTTAGACAGTGTTTTTGTGGGACTGCAGACATGTTTTTAAGGCAGATTGATTGCCTTAACATGTCTGTTCATCTCTATTTTACTTCCTTCTTTTAAATAATGTCGGACAATGCACTGTAACTTTTACTGTCCTGTTTTATCTTGTTTTTATTTTCCATTTAACCGTTTTTTAAAATTTATTTAAATTTCTTTTATATTGCCCTTGGTTGCTTTTATATAAAGTACTTTGAATTGCCTTGTTGTTGAAATGTGATAGACAAATAAACTTGCCTTGCCTTCCAACGTGTTACAAGCAGCTTAAACTGTCAGTACATCACATTTATAAAAAGGAAGACCATGCGTATCCTACCAGCGGAGTTCGTCCTATACTGTTGAGGTAGTATAGGAGGCCCTTGGTGTGGTAGATGGTTGGACTGAGGACGGGGTCTGGTTTAGACCACTGGCGATTCAGATCCTCTCCACTCAGATCACAGCGATTCCTGAGGAGACAAACAGCAGAAGAGACAGGACATTAGTACTGCGAGTGCTTTTGTTGAACCTGTTTAGCCTGACAGTATTATGGTGGTGCTTATGTTTCATGTATTTATATAGTGTGTGTGACTAAAGGAATGGCAACCAGGAAACCTGTGAACTTGGAAGTTAATGGACTATGCGAGGACGACACTACTTTACCATGGACTGAAAACAATGGATAAAAGCATAACCGCGCCTCCACACTCCACTCTGAAGCGCTTTGAGCTTCTATGATAAAGCGCTATATAGATGTAATGCATTATTATTATTATTATTATTATTAAACAGGGCTAAGACTGCCATACATGAGACCCATGGGGAGGTGAGGGTTTGAGCCCCTTTTCAAAATGGGGTTCTAGGGCAAAATCCAAATGCTCTGTGTGTGTGTGTGTGTGTGTGTGTGTGTGTGTGTGTGTCCTCTCTCTGGGGGACATATATAAAGTCTCAAAGCTCGCATCCAGAGCCACACATAGTTTGCCACCTGCACTTAAAAGACGTGTGTGTAAACGATGTGCACACACACTTCTATGGGTACCTGCAACAGCATTACGTGTATGTCTATTTAACCTGGATCCAATGATCTAATTTGGTAGTTTAATATATCAGCTATGTGTGTGTCAGATGGCAGGCTTGATTGAGATAAGTGTAATCAACCAAAGCAAATTGACTGTGAAACTATTCAAATTGTGTGAAGTCAAATGAATGACTCCCACACAAGAGATGAAGACCTGGGCCATTAACCAATAAAGTTAAGAGTACTGAAAGGAAAACAACATTCACATTTACAGTTCCCCTTGCTTTAGAAGGGAGTTTATTAGTCAGTGAGTGCGAACAATATAACAACTACTATATCTGTGATGCTACCAAGACTTCCTCAAATAATTTATTTGTGAAATGACAGAGCAGGGTAATACTCTTTGCTTTTGGTTTGAATAGAGGATAATGAAAAATCACAGCGTATTGTTCAAGAGAAAAGACAACCCTAACATTTAGTACTAAAATGGTACTCCTGTTCAAGTTAAAGACAAACTGTGGTTGTATTGTGACAGATGTCCCACCATGGACATTAGAGTGGTTTCTCTGAAAGCTGGATCATGTGCACCTGTAGTTTCGTTCTTCTGTTTGTTATTTTGGGGGCATATTGGGTAATGGTTATGTTTTGGTGACAGGCTGCATCATATTTGATTATTTAAATGTATAAATATATGATTGTACAATAACTATGAAAACATGAAACATGTCCAAACTCTGTATTCCTGGTTTAATCAGGTTACATTAGATATCTAAATTGCCTAACACCCTTAAAGGTTCAGTGTGTAATATTTCTGAGGATTCATTGACAGAAATGCAATATAATATCCATAACTATGTTTTCAGTGGTGTATAAGGACCTTACATAATGAACCATTATGTTTTTATTACCTTAGAAGGAGCCATTTATATCTACACAACTGCAGCCACCCCCTTCTATGGAGGTTGCAGTATTTTGTCGTCATGTTTCTACTATAGATGACAACGGACAAACAGTGCTACAGAGCGCTGAATTATTTACTGCATTACTATTTACTAATAATCAAGTAAATATAATTTCTTAATATATCAATGTATAGAGACCAGGATTCTTGACTGCCAACTCTCTGTGCTATCTCACAGAGGACATCTTTTTTCCTGTATCAGGCACCGTAGCTATACAACTCGCTTGGATAGGGGAGGGGGGGATGCAATTCGCAACTCTCACCCCTAGATGCCACTAAAACTTACACACTGAGCCTTTAAAAGCTAAATGCAATTAATTTACCCTTTGTATTATTTATTCCAATTAAGGATTTAAAATTGAAAAACAAATGGGTGTTCTATATATCTATAGCCTAGCTGCAGTCTTAAAACAATAATAATAAATAGACAACGTGATTTTCTGTGGTTTTAAGTGAAATATTTTATTCTATTGTTAGATGCATTCCACAGAGGATGAATCCAAATGACTGGTTTATGACCAAAGACCTGCAAAACTAATTCCCATCCGCCTCAGCTGTACTTTGTGTTTACTGCTCATTAACTAATGTAGCTAATGCTTACATTAGTATTTAGCTCAATACTGTGCCAAAGTACAACCCCACAGAGCTGCTAGAGAGACTGTGGACTCTTAACACTGGCTATGTACCAAAACCAACATGTTAAGAGACTGCCCTAATGCATCAGTTGTTTCAGTAACCCTAACCCATGACCTAACCTATCCTAAGCAAGTGGTGTTTGTGCCTAATCCTAACCACACTTAACTACAGCATTGTCACATCATAAAACAAATAGATTTTTTATTAATCATTTGTAAAAGTTTAAGAAAGTATAGAGGAAAGATGTTTTCCTGCCATGGCTGGCATCACATCAGAAATATTTCTACGTGTCGTACTGGAGGGCAATAACAAACTTGCTGACATGTTAGCAGTGTATCTGTTTTGTCAGATGTGGTAAAGATGGATAACTGAAAAATACAGCTGGAACATGTTAGAAAGACCGAATGAGCCTGGATAAGTTGTAACTGTTGCAATGAATTTAATACTTTGTTTCATTTTGGTTTAAAGTACCATGTCTATCTTTTCTTTTCTTTTTGTGATGTGGACTTAAGCTAAACCAGTAGGGAACCACTGACTTCATGGGTAATTTAAAACTTGGTGTATTCCTTTAAGCTTTATTGATTTCTCCTGATGCTGAGTTCAGATCTTTTTCTTCAGTCTTTCTTCTCTGTTTGTGTCCCGTGCTGATTGTCTCGGTGTCCTGTATTATCTCTGTATTGCCTCAATCTCTTTCACCCTCTCGCTCTCTCCCTCCATCTAAGTCTCTCGCCCCATGCCGCAGCCTCCCAGCCTCAGATGTGTCCCAGGGCAGCAGACATAGAGAAACACAGTTAAAACTATTTGTAGGGCTGACACCGAAGATTCGATGCTTCGATGGGCCTGATTCGATTGTCAGTCTCACAGTCGAAGCATCGCAGTGAAACAAGGATCGTGCCATTTTGGCGATATAGGGGTGCTCAATGTCTGCTTTTACATAGAACTACCAGTTTTCTCCCAATAAGTTAATATACAGCCTATTACAATATACATTTCAACATTTAATGCTGTAAATAAATATGTAAAAAGAATAAAACTTTCAATAAATGTTTTTGAAGTGCGTGAATAACAAGCTGCGCACAAAAACACACACATGATTTGACTATCATACGACCATAGGCAGGACAATTCTGATTTGACTATGTAAATCCTTAGTCGGGGACAGCCCAGGTAAACTGTTTCCAGCACTGCAGCTGCCTGCCCTCAGGCGTGTGTATGTGTGTGTATGTTCACATTTGTTTGCGATGGCTATCACAAAGAATTCCATGGGGAATGTGCTGCCAGATAATATTTTATTCTGTAAGCTTTTACACAACCTACAGCTCATGTTTATTTGTAATTTACCCACAAACAGGCAGCATTTCAATCACTGTGTGTTGATTAAGTGTTTGTGTGGGTTTATCAGTGTCAAAATGAACTGTGACATTCTCGTCAACCGGTGTAGATGGGTACCCGATGCCCTTGGAAATACAGCATGTGCTATATTATTATGTCATTTGTGAGCTTATGTAGGACTTTATTGATGACAAGGTTTATTTTGTACTAACAGGTGAAGATAAACTTGTTCACCTGTTGTGTTAACTTGTGCAAATAAGCAGTCTGGTATCACCAGACTCATTTGCAAATGCTTATTAGTCTGATACCAGTTCCTTTTTGATTTCCAAAGGAATGCCCTAAATGCAGAAACACTAGGCAGAGCAAGTTCCGTTTTCTTAGCTTAATAACAGATCTTACAGGTAGGCAATGTTCAATAGTCCAAACGGCAGTCCAGAACAGATGTAAAGTAAATCACCAGTAACATCAGTAACCACCAATCAGAGCAGTGAGACGTATGAATCTAACAGTTATCGTATCAAACCTGCCCCATATTAGATAACCAGCTTTGATCGGCTAGATCCAGTACCGGTGGAAATCTGTCTGAATGGGAGGGGAGCCATGCGTAGTATCTGCCAGAGCAAATGAAACATGAGCTTGGCAGATTCAGCAAATAAGCGAACGAAAAGAACTTCTGAGGGCAAAATTATTATCCTATAGACTTTTAATAATCCTACTTATCATTAATTTATGCACTAGATTGATCTGTGTTATAATTTCACAGTAAGTATCCCAGTGTTTTGATACAACGGACATATGTTAGATGGTTTTGTCTTATGCATACTCCATTCCTGTGAGAAATAAGTTTCCACTGTGGCTCATAGCAGTCTCCTGTCTGGACTGTCTGACTGTGTGTACACAACAGAGACATGTTCTCCCTGTAGGACAGCAACGTGATAGGCGGCAGTAGGTGACAGTGTTAGTGAGCGGAGCATAGCAAAACATGAGCGCAAGGTTTCAGCCTGGCAGTAAATGCACAGTGTAGGTCACAGTGTGTACATTAATTAAAGTCTGTCTGTTGTTTTCCAACTGCTGGATAAGTGAAGGCGGTTAGCGCTAGCTAACATCTCTTCAGACTGCAGTCTGGAAACTATGCGGGACGTTTTTTTGGCAGCTAGTTCAAGTTTGTTTGTTGTCATTCATCCACATACTGAGTAGCCTAAACAAATGAACAAAATGCTGCTTCTCACGGTCCGTGGTGCTCAATACAAGATTACGATTACCAACTTTTAAGACAAGACACAAAGACATAGATACACTAGACGAGACAAAAAAAGGAACATATATTTAGGCAGCATGAACGTGGTTTGGCTGGAGCATTGTAAAGTGCGCAGTTCAACACGTATGTAACTCTGTAACAACAGCAGCATTAGAAATGAACATAGCAGCAGCAGAGGTCAGTAATACATTACATTACATTTACTCATTTGGCAGACGCTTTTATCCAAAGCGACTTACATTTGAAGAACAACATACAATCATTA